CTCACATATTATGCGAATTTTGCGAAGATGCTTGTAATTTAGAACTGGGAGAGGAAGCCATACTCCCTATAAATGGAGATATTAGTAAATTTGACATATTATTGATTGAAGGGAAGAGAGAAGCAGTGGTGGAACGATTATACGTGAAGGACCTGTTAAGCCAGACCGAATTAGATAGTTTACTAACACAACCGAAGAATGTTGAGAATAAATTGGAGAGTAGATTCACAATGGAGGTGATAACTAGCGGAAAGTATAGGCGACTCCGGATTTTCTCTGGAAAAACAGACATTCCAAAGGACGAAGATAGGTGGGAGACGTGGATAGAGCAAGCCGAAAGCCAATTAGATGAGTGGGGAGATATGTCTGATTCAGAGAGGAAACAGAAAATACGTGAAGCACTAAGATCCCCAGCAGCAGAAGTGATTTGTGATCTCAGACAAGATAATCCAAATGCTACATCTGAAGAATATTTGGCTGCCCTTGAACTGTCATTTGGTTGTACACAGACAGGCGACGAATTACTGATGAAATTTCACAACTTAAAACAGAAGGAGCAAGAGTCTCCATCTGATTTCATCCGGCGACTGCAAACATCCCTGAGACAAGTAGTCAGAAAAGGTGGGATACAAAGAGAACAAGCAAATTCAACAAGACTACGACAATTATTAAGAGGGTTGTTGTACGATGAGTTAGTAATCACAACTCTGCAACTTAGTGAAAAAGTCGAAGAGCCACCAAAATACCTTCAATTACTAAACAGTTTGAGGCGGTTGGAGGAGGAGAAGGAATCTAAACAGATGCAAAGGAGGAGCAGAGTTGCGGTTAAAAGTGCAACTGTTGAGCCGAGAATAGCCGAGCGCTTGGCAGAATTGGAAAACCAAGTGAAAATGTTTAGTTTCAAACAACAAGAGCGAATGGAAGATAATAATCCATACATTAGACCAAACCCAGAAAGAGTTGAGTCCAAGCGGGACTGGATGCCATCAAGTGGAAGGAGGGCCTCTCCCGACTTTTTGTTTTAAGTGTGGGCTTTCTGGCCATTTCCAAAGAAACTGTAGAAATTCACCGGATTTGGAAACAGTAAATAAGAAATTGCTGAAGTTAGTTCTGGGGAGGCAGGAAAACAACAACGGGTATTCACGAAGGGGCAACCGAATACCCGATCATCAGTAAGCCCTAAACCAACTATCCCTGAAGGACTAGTTGGAGAAAGTACTACTCAGACGTGTTTCATTGAAGGTCGAATTGCAAAATGCCTGTTAGACACTGGATTGCAGGTCACTCTACTATCAGAGAGTTTTTATAGAAGTTTTAACAAACAACTATATCCTCTAGATGATCTTGTTGTGTGGCATGGTGGAGGGGATACAATCAAGTATATAGGCTGGTCCAATATTCTACTCCGTTTTCCAAAAGAATTTGATGTGTAGGAAAGTCTTTTGAGGTGCCTATGTTGATTGTACCAGACACAATAGGCTCAACTGATTGTCCTTTGATAGTGGGCACGAATTCAGGAATATTTAAAAGGTGCTTACAAGCGTGTAGAGACATAGCAGGTGAACAGTATATAAATAAGCTACAAGTGTCATCTACTTGTCTTAAAGCGAGATCGAGATTTAAGAGATAACGAAAGGATAGGAGAAGGAGGCCAAATTGGTGTTGTTAAAACAAAACGAAATAAAAAAAAGTCTATATTCCAGTTGGACAAGTGAAAGAAGTTCAAGGGATTTTACGGAACCATTGTTTAACCCAGAAAACTGTAATAGTAGATTGTTCAAAATCTTTACCTGTCGGAGTACATACCCTTCCATATGTAACGACGCTGCCAGCTGTTAGGTTCTGTAAAGTTAAAGTGTCACTTAGGAACACCGGTGATAAAGATATCATATTAAGACCAAGTTGTATTATTTCTGATGTTTGTGTTTTACAATCATGTCGACCAGTATGTAGTAGCGCAACAATACAAGTTAATGAGACTAACAACGTTACAAATGACTTCAACCAACCTGACACATTTGACAGCCTTCCATTTTCATGGGGACCCATTTCTACTTTTTGGAAAAACAAATTACTTGACCAAATGAAAGCAAGAAAAGATGTGTTCTCAATGCATGATTGGAATCTTGGTATGACTAATCAGATGGAACATAATATACGAACGAACAACGATGAACCATTTAGGGAACGATCAAGAAGGATTGCTCCAGCCGATTTAAAAGACAGCAGAACATCTTCAGCAGATGTTAGATCATGGGATTATCTGTGAGTCTCGAAGTCAATATGCTTCACCTATTGTAATTGTGAGGAAGAAAAATGGAGCTATGAGACTTTGCGTTGATTACAGGAAATTAAACGGAAGCACTCTTCCAGATCAGTATACTGTACCAGTTATACAAGATGCACTTGATTGCCTTAATGGAAGTAAATGGTTCTCTGTTATAGATTTAAAATCGGGATTTTATCAAATACCGGTGAGAGAAGAAGATAAGCAGAAAACAGCATTCATATGTCCTGCTGGGTTCTATGAATTCAACCGAATGCCTCAGGGTATAAAAGGAGCACCAGCAACTTTTCAGAGAATGATGGAAAAATGCATGGCAGAGCTCAACATGGTTGAAATGTTGGTGTATATGGATGACATAATTGTATATGCAGAGACATTAGAACAGATGGAAGAGAGGCTGATGAGAGTATTCGATAGACTATCTGAATTTAACCTGAAGGTTTCACCAAATAAGTGCCAGCTATGTTGTAAATCAGTGAAATATTAAGGACACATTGTTTCTGAAGATGGCGTTAAGACCGATCCCGACAAAATTACAGCTTTGGTGTCATGGCCAGGACCTAATAACATTAAAGAGTTAAGATCGTTCCTGGGATTTAAAGGATTTTACAGGAGATTTTTTCAGGGATATTCCAGCATTGCCCAGCCATTACATGCTTTAACATCAGGACAGGAACTTCAAACAAAATGCAAGAGACAATCTATTAGTGTAAACCATGATTCAAGAGAAACTACTAAACCATTTGGTGAAAGATGGACAGATCAATGTGAACATTCATTCTTGACATTGAAACAGCTATTGAGTTCTGCACCTGTACTAGTGTTTGCTGATATGTCTCAGCCATTTATAGTACACACAGATGCAAGTAGGGGAGGTTTAGGAGCTGTTCTATATCAGCATAGAGAGAAAAGTTTACACCCAGTAGCGTATGCCAGTAGAGGCCTAACGAAATCAGAGAGAAATTATCCGGCTCATAAACTAGAGTTTCTGTGTTTGAAATGGGCTGTGTGTGACAAATTCAAAGATTATTTATAGGGGACCAAATTTATGACTGATAACAATCCCTTAACGTATATTCTTACTTCGGCAAGGCTGGACGCGACTGGGCAGAGATGGTTGGCAGATCTAACAAATTATGATTTCACCATACACTATAGATCAGGAAAGACTAACATAGATGCAGATGCGTTGTCTCGTAGACCATATAAAACAGATTTAAAGGGACAAGATAAACTACAACAGCAAATTGGTATAAAGACATTGGAAGGAAGACTAAACCAGGAGCGAAATCCGATTTTTTGTGAAAAAGACACAATATATGAATTATCATCTTATAGGGCGAAGGAGAAACAAGAAGAGTTGCTGAACGAACAAGAAACAGAACCATTGGTGTTATCAATTGCCATGTCAGCAGAAGCAATACCACAGAGTTACGTAAGTCCAAGCTGTTTAGATGCCGGAACGGTAGAGGTTGATTGGAAATTACGGCAAGACAGTGATAACAACATAATGAGGGTAAAATACCTAATAACCACGGGAGAAAGAGTTACAACATTGCATAATGAAACATCTGAATTACAACTCTTACTAAAGCAGACTAAAAAGCTGAAAATTGTTGATGGTATTTTGTATAGAATGGTTACAGATCCTTTGACTGGAGATAAAAACAGTCAATTAGTTTTACCGAAGTATTACAGAGAAGAAGTAATTCGGGCTTTACACAACGACCAAGGTCATTTAGGCATTGAACGAACTATAGCCTTTGTACGCAAGAGACTTTTCTGGCCAGGAATGGCTGGTCAAATAACTAAATGGATACATAACTGTCCTAGGTGTGTGGCTCGGAAAACTCTGCCAGCGGTTGCAGCACCACTTGTTTTCATCAAAACAAGTCAACCAATGGAATTGGTGTGTATGGACTTTCTGTCTGTAGAAGCGGACCGTAAAGGTATGAATTCTATTTTGGTCATTACCGATCATTTTACTAGGTATGCCCAAGCGTTTCCTACTCGAAATCAAAAAGCCGATACAGTTGCTAAAGTGTTATGGGAAAAATACTTTTGCCATTATGGACTACCAATGCGACTTCATAGTGACCAAGGCCGAGATTTTGAGGCAAAAGTAATTCGAGAATTGACTAACTTATTAGGAATTCGGAAGACACGTACTAGCCCATATCACCCTCAAGGAGATCCACAGCCAGAGAGGTTCAATTCTAGATGTGTATAAGAGACAGATCATACACAGTATGTAAAAACACTACAAAATAGATTACAGGAAGCATACACAATAGCTAGTGAAAATGCAGAGAAGGTGGCTTCTAAAAATCGGCAGAGATATGACAAGAGGATCAGAGGCAATGATTTGCAGAAAGGAGACATGATTTTAGTTAAAAACTTAGCTAAGAAAGGACTTTCCAAGCTGGTAGATAGATGGGATTCGACCATTTATGTAGTGGTCGATAGACTGGGACCTGAAATTCCAGTATATACGGTTAAACCAGAGCATGGAAGTGGAAAGTTGAGGAATTTACATCGAAATCACTTACTACCAGTAGGAGAAATGGTGAATGAAGAAGAAATGGATATTGGGAAAAGAAACCAATCAAACAGGCCCAGAATTATATCCAGACGTGTACACAAAGATGAAGGAAGTACTGAGGATGAAGAGTCAGATGAGGAGGATTTAGTTCTAAGAGCTCCAGAGATCATGGAACATATTGCACCTCCTTCTATTGAACTAAATCCTGATGCAGACGAATTTATACCTTCTCCGGAGTTCACGGCGATGATGACTAGTGAACCAAATTCTTTGGGCGGAGAAAATGGACTGTTAAATGAATTGGAGGAAGAACCAACACAAATGGAGAATCATGAAATAGATGTTGACCAACCTGAAGAAGTGTCAAATGATGGAGAACAACAAAACAGCATTGACCATGCCGGTGAGAGAGAAGCAGAGACTGAAACTAATGTGAGTCCTGGAGTATCAGTGCAATCTTCTGGGGAGAATTTGTGTGATGAATCAAATGTTCAGAGAGGGGAGATCTTATACCAGAATGGAAGAACATCAGGAAGGCAGAGAAAGCCCCCAAACAGATTGATGTATGATCAATTAGGTGTTCCTTGTTTTATTCATAAAGCAAAGAGGAAACGTGGTTTACGTGATTATTTTAATGACTTTAAATTTAAAGTGTTTGGGAAATAAATGAAATGTATAACATAGGCATGTGGTAAATGACATTATTTGCATCGAGACGATGCAATTCAGAGAGGGGAGTGTGTAACATAGGTACATTAACTCATTCAGTGCTTCCCCTCTGTATTATGTTGACTGTGAGTGTCCATAGCTATAGAGATGGCGCGTGAGCTTGGACGCGTTCCTAAGGAACGCGCCAATTGTTTAAACCAAAGAGTATAAATAGGCTATGTTCAGACACAACGATTTACGCTAGCGTAACGTTAATCGAGTGGTGTGAACTTGTGCGTGGCGTAGCGAACGCCAGTATTATCGCGCAATCACTGGCGTACGGTAATCCAGCAACAGACCCCAGATTAGCGTACGCCACTGATTTAGGACAGTCATGCATCGGTGATTTTGAACTCAGCCAAGATTTGACCAATCAAAATAAACCTAGATGTAAACAGAAAATAAAATGCGCGAATTACGAATACGAATATTTCGCGCGAATACTTACGCTAGCGTTCATTAATCGCCCAGTCTGGACATCTCGCTAG